ATTTTTAATGTGATTCAAACGTTTATGGGGTTTCTAAACCGAATCACACATTTTTAGAATTCCTGTCCATTTGTTTCTCTATTCGTTTCGTTACGAGTACACCAGGGAACAGAATATATTTTTTACTCGATAGGAATAAACAAAAAATCTAGTTTTCTAATCGCAAACGATCCATATCCAAACGCATAAGAAAAACGAAAATATTTTAACGTTCGAAAGTTTTATTCGCACGGTTCGTCGATGGAGAACTGATCATCCCAGAAACGCTTGATTTAAGCGGCCCCTCGCACAGGCAACCCGCGGTGCTTCATAATAGAAATGGAAACGTCGATAATTTCCAGGAAATATGATACACTCGCGGTGATATAAGAGAAGAGGAAAATTATTTTCCAGACGAGGGCGGTCCCTGTTACTAAACGAAAGTCCCGTGCGCCGTTACAAGCTCTACATAAATCTTGTCGGGCGGAGTGATTCGCGGCGGCGTGCACCGCTGATAAATCTCGACGTGGAAATTGATTATCGAAGGCGAATTTTCCATGGTATTTATACGCCCGTGAGAAATTCGATCGAACGCTTGGAGCTTTCCCTTCGTCGTTTCCGGCTCGTTTCTCCGTATCTCGCGTTTTTTTTTGTCAACCCTTATTAATCGAATCGCGTCAGTTCGCGGGACAGCGCGATGCCCGGCGAGATATTATAGCCGGGTCGAATTTAATTGGTCGTTCAAGGCCACTTCCGCCGACTGTAAATCATTCCAAAGTACCGTCGAACAACAGGTTAGTCGAATGTGTAAGGCAGTTCAGGATGAACGCAGTCGATAAAGCATTAGACGGTTGTAAATTATGGGTTCAAACAACGTCGTTGATAACGAGAATCGAGCGTGAATATGAGAAACTGCTGGTAAAATAAGATTATTGGACGACGTCGATATATTAGATCTTACTATTGAGTCATATGGTTACCCTTCAAGGTATACTATACATCTCATTCTTTAATTTTGTCTCAGTCTTCCACTTAATATTATTCTTCTTATTAACCCTTTCTAAACTGGACTGTAAGATTAACGTTTACTATAAAATAATAGATATTTTAAAATGTTAATCTTTTAAAATCTTCCACGACAATTAGTCCGTCATAATTACAAATTGGAAGGAATGACAACATTTGCCTCAGTATCGTTTAAACGTAACGTTCTCTTAAAAATTCATAAAATTCCTTTCCTTTTCGCTCGAACGGCGAAATATTGTTTTCTCTTTTTGGCTTACTTCCGTTCCCCATTTAGTATTCCTTCTCTTATTTCGTGCTCTTAGATTTACTTTCGAGTTTTTATTCTTTCCAGTTTCCTTTACTTCTCCGCTCCTTCGTATTTCTTCCTCCGCCAGCGTATTGTCCTTCCATCCCTCCGGAAGCTCGAACGAGGAATTCCTGCCGGAATTGCGGCCCTCGCCTCGGCTGTTGCCCGGATATTTATGCTAAATAGGGATTTTGAAATACGATATTGTACCAAAGCCTGGCACTGCGGAGGAGCTGCGCCCCGGGCACGATCGAAAGCGATGTTCAGGGGTTGAATTTGCAGCACGTTAAAAAGGAAATAACGGGTCGGTGAAATTAGCATCGCTGATACTCTCGTTCCGCGTACTTATTCAACATTAAACGAAAGTTCATTCGATCTTTATCAGACGCGGGGTTAAATATTTTTACAACTCGTTTCAGTCCGGCTGCAATTTCAACCCTTCGCGTAAAAAATATCTAAAATAATTTGCATCATTCCAGGCTATTAAATGCGAGGCTTTTTAAGCAAATTTAAACACATTTTAAACACAGGAAATATTTAAAATTTCACGTCCTTTGTACCTGTTATTTATGTTTCGTAATTAATATCATTACTGTAGATATTTTTCCACCGCAAGGGGGACCGAAATTTCTGCCAAATACTTTATTAAGTGGATACTAAAACGAGTTTTATATCCTGGGACAAAATGGCGTTGAAGAAAAGTTTTCTTCTTCATGGAAATTATCTGTGACACCTTATTCGTTGGAACTAAACTTCAGCGACGATAATTAAGTAGCGTAGCCTGCATAAGCAGACGTGGCGTGTTTGTACAAAGAAACGTGACTCTCTCCCTCATCCCTTAATCATTTTGTTAATTCAATTGTTTTCGCCGCGCAGGGGCTAATCAAAACTGATTACCTGCAAAATGCAAAGTCGAGCGGTAAAATGATACATCGCGGATGGAAACGCGAGGCTTCGGTGTTCCGTGTCTGTTTTAATTAACATCAATTAGAATTAATATCGTGTGTACGCAATTAAATGCGGAATTTCAGGCAAGTCGACGGCAACAACTGTACCCGCCGACAGGAATTCATTAAATCGCGTTTCGCGTCGACCGATCGTCGTCGTTCGACCAGAAACTCTTCTCCTCCTTTCGAGATTGACTTCTATCGGACGACCATTCGAGACGATTCGGGCGTAAAAGAAAGGCACGAGGATTGGTGAGGGGAAACGGAATCTATTCTCGATTTTGATCGATCGATCTCCGCGTCCCCTTCGAGGTTTCAACGCACGATTTTTCGAGGCTTGGATTCCAAGAATAAACGAAATCAAGATGTCCTCGAAAAGCAATATCACCGTGCAAGTGCACGCTCCTGCATTGTTTATACGTTACGTAGCTTTCGTGCGGAGTTACGAAACGATCTTGATACAGTAATTCCCGGTTTTACGCGGAAGTTGTACGTTTCTCGTTATATTGACGAACGCGACGCTTCGACAAGTTTTGTTTTCCTGTTTAATGGGAAAAACCTGGCGGCGAAAAGTCCCGATAAAACGGGGATACGCGAGGCCGGGGGGCCCCGGTCGTAAATTTCCAGGATTTCGTTACAAAGTGTACACGATGCAGACGGAACGAGAAGCGTTTGGAAACAAGAGGGCAGGTAAGGAGCCCGGTAGAATTCTAGGAGTAAATTGTGTGTCGGTAGCAGACGTAAAACAGTTGATTGCTTTCGAAACGTTGCGTCGACGACGATCGCGTAGGGTAAATAGCAGCGGCGTTGTAGTTGCATTTCGAGTCGAGTGTCTATTACAAGCAATGAGAGGCAATCCGATTAGTTTCGAGGCGATGAGGAACGTTCGATAGATTGAAACAGAGGCTCCGCTGTTACAAGGCACTCGCTTCTTATTTCGCTCTCGAACGAAACGTTTTCACGAACGCGAACGAGGAAGAGCAATTTCGCAACTCGAGCAATTGCATTTCTTTCGTTTCAACTAAAACATTCGACAATTCAGCCGTCTGCTTTGTTTAATTCATTCCCAATAATTTCCTGGAATTTATTACGAGTCACGTAGTAAACGGTAACCCCGATAATAAATTGTTTAGAAACAAACGGATATCGAGGACAGCAGAATGTTGCTCAGTTTCCGTTATTTCCAAACAAAAATCTATTTCAAAACTGTTGTTTAGTCCCAGCAGGAACTCCTGTGTTACAGTCGGCAAATAAAAAAGAAAAAACAACGCCCAGTCGAAAATAGCTCCGAAAAACGGAAAAAGTTGGCTGGAAAACGTTCACGAAATAACTTCCACCCGTCGACGAAAAATCACCACGATTTTTTAACAGGGTCCCAACGTTCGAGGTCGCCCCGTTTCCGAACTTCAAGAATATGTCGCTCGCGAGGGAAATTGTACGCTCCGACGCAGCTGCGAAACAGTTGATTGGTTTCGGACTGTCGGCGTCAGAACTGGCGACGCACGAATTTCTGATTGCTTTTGTTCGTGCAATTTTGCTTAGGTCGCGATCCTCCTCGAATTCTCTTTCCCTGCCGTATTCCTTCGAATTAAACTAAAAATCCAAGTTCCACACGGCATATGCCACTGCCAGCAGTTTTTAAATTATTTTACATTACTTTTCGTAGAGCTTGTGGCCTTTAAAACTTAATTCGTATTTGCGTAACTTTGTTTTATACGAATTTTATATTAAGTATTTCTCGATTGTTTTAAAAGAAAATCTTTGCAGAAGTTCATTTATTTACGGGGAAAAACCCTTTAGTACAGAAGATGTAATATGTAAGGAACAACAAATGTGGATTATACACAGTAGATATAATTATTTTAGCAAAATAATTAATTTAATTTGCCCGATAGTCTACGAGTTAAGTGGACGTTGCCCATTTCAATATGGCCGCCGTGTCGGTAAGGTATCGACACGCATGCGCGATTATCGAGATTCGAAAACGACGTTGTGGTCGTACAGGTTCGAAAAACTCTTTAGTACAAAAGATGTACTATGTAAGAAACAATAAATATAGATTACACATAGTAGATATTATCGTTTATAAAGTTTTAGCAAAATAATTAATTTAATTTGCTAGATACTCGACGAGTTAAGTGGACGTTGGTCATTTCAATATGGCCGCCGCGTCGGTGATGTATCGACACGCATGCGCGATTATCGAGATTCGAAAACGACGTTGCGGTCGAACGGGTTCGAATTCGAGCGCGAACGAGCCTCTTTTTGTATTCGTACCTCGTGTCGTAGAACTAAAAGCGCGAACGAGATCAACGACGCGTGACTCGATGACTCGAAAGAACGAACTGTGGAATGGCGTCGATGGACAGGAGGAAGCCTGACGGGAATTGTCGACGGTTACGTTCCGTTGCGACGTGGACTATTGAATATTTATGGCACCAATTTCACAAAATCTACGATTGGAAGACTACGGTCTATTTTTACTAAATTTAATCGTGAAAAGAGTATTCTAAGTTTATCTTCATGTTTTTCAATGTTAAAAATTTACAAGTTTTATATAATCGATGTCCTTTAATGGAATTCTTTTTATAAACTTCAGCATGCAAATGCAGAGCTAATACGTTCTTTGCCTTTTACGCTGCAATATCGATTAAAATTTACTGCCCGTACATCCAGAAAATATGTTTCCTCTGCTTTACATTTTAAGTCGATATTTTCTATGATTCTACAAAAATTGTTTATTTCTTTTGTCGAGCATTTACCTTTTACGGGGGCCTCGTCGTCGATCCGGAATTTGATAGCATTCGCTTTTCTGGAAAATCTCAGCGTATGCCACATATCATCGTTCAGACCTTGTCCAGCCACCAAGATCTGAAACAAGAAATTAAATATAACGATTAAATCGCATAATTCTTACAATCTTTAACACATTTTGACCAATGATCTTTAAAAAAAGTGTAACTCAGGTATTGTTCGAGGTTCTTTGCAACCACTTATAACAGCCTAAGCCTACGTTATGACGGTTCCCAAGCAGGTGTTGCTGCGCGTTCGAAGGGACGAATGCCAAAATTACGTCAAAATCAACGTTAATGCCGTGTACAACGTTAATTGCAGAGCATTGGGGGGATCAATCGAACCGAAACGCCGTGTTAAACGCGTTAGGATCATCGATGTTCCGTCTAATATCGCGCAACCGTAGAAATCTCCGGGCGTTGAATTTCGGGGGAACGCGATGGAACGTCGGGACAGAATTTCTGGTTCGGTTTTACGCTCAACGGCCGCCTCGAAATGAGATTGATTGCGTATTGCAGGATGCAACCGGCTCGCCGTCGACTCAAACGCCGAGGAAATTTGCGCCGCGGCGCAATGAAAACGCCTCGGGCGGAAACGCGCCGATTGAATTACGTCGCGCGGATGCAATAATGGATACTTGAGCGCGAGCAATTAGCGCAAAGCGACCGCTGCCAGTGCTTGCCATTAGGGAAACACAACGAGGCCAGTTTCGAGACCAAGCTTTAATGAAGACAGGCCCTGTCAGCGAACCGAAGTTACAAGAGGACCTGCTCGATCGCACGCGAATTACAGACTATTCAAAGAAAATCGACCATTTTCTAGTAGAGTGTCGCAAATGTTAGCGTTCCACGCAGCTTATGGGACAGATTACAAATTTTATTTGTAAACACAGGAAGCTTCATTAACACCAGAAGTGGTCAAAATCACCCATTCGTAATTTCTAATAAAAATTCTAAAAAATAAACATTTATTTCCAGTACATTATACATTTCTTCGAGCATCGTTTTAATTTCTTTGGTACAAATAAATACACCATAGCTATTGGTAGTTCTAGTGTTAAGCTAGATCCTTGTATCTCGTATGTTGCATCTTTACATTTAGAATAATTTGTCAATAATTTGTCAGAAATTAAACGTGACTCGATCACAGTAAAATAAATATATCATTTTTTTCCTTAAAAAAGAAATATTTTTCCTCGAGTGAATCGCTGATTTTATCGAAGTTTGTAAACACGAAACAGGTAGAAACAGTTGATATAAATATTCAAACATTTACAACGATGCCCTTTCGGATAAAAAGTTACAGTGCAGTTAAAATTGTTTTACATCGAACCGCGTAGGAAGCAACGCGCGTTAATTCGAGTTCGAGTTTAAATATTCGTTACTAAATACCCATTAGTGGTAATCCACTTTTTGACTCGCGCGTTCTCATAACGTCGAAAGCCCGAAATATATGCACCAGTTCTGAGTAACGGCACTCGCGTGGCGGTATCGATGCATCTAGGCGCACCTATAGTTAACCATTCCGGGAGTATAGCGCCGTCGATAAACTAACAACACACGGTGCTTCTCGTTTGGTTAAACCACCATAAATCCGGGCAACTCGTCACTATCTCCTAACTGGTTTGGTCCACGCTGCCATGCGTGATATTCATCTATCACGTGGCATCTGACACACGTTTGTCACCTGACGTCACCTTTGCACCACCAACATCGCTCGCGTTCCCCCCTCCGCGAAACGTAAGTGTTATTTCCGACCGTTTGCATCACGAGTGTTCAATCACCGTCGAAAACTCCCCGTCGAGAAAGTTATTTTTCACAACTTTCCAATAAAATCGTACAACAGCGGTCCAACTCGTCGCCCCGTATTCACCCTATCGTAGGATTTGCGGGATACAACTTTCCACTTTTTGTATGAATATATTTCCAACGCTCTTCTTGCAACGTTCCTTCTACAATCGCTGTTCGACTTGAACTAAACTCTCGCCCAAAGGACCGTGCACGCTAATCCACTCTAAAACACGAACCATTCACGCGGAACGACGCCCTAGGCTTCATTTTGACCCAAACACGTGTCATTCACACCCTAGTACAGTTCACTCTTGTTACTTAACACACGCTTATTATATAACAATATCTTACACTATCTGCATTCAAAATAAATACTAGAAAATCTAATGAAATTGTATAGAATCATCATAATGATAATATTGCATAAAAGTTAGGTAAATATTAGTAACTACGAGTCATAAATCCATTTCGTTGTGTTGAAACATTTACAATCAAATAGACATTAGATGATTCCCTTTGCAATATTTTTCCATCTCTCACCAAACTCGAGATTCAGTAATGATTCTTAAAATGAACGCTTCAGGGTCAGCCTGTTCACTTTACGTACAGCGGAGGTGAAATTCGACACCAGTTTTCGCGCTTCACTGGTTCCGAGGGGGGCAGAAACGTTCAACTTACGAATCACGCGTTCATTTAACGAATCATTTCCGGTATGACGTATTATTCTATAAAATGTCTAAATTGGGTTTCTGAGGTCAGTAACGCAATTCCCGGGGACGTCGAAGCCCCGAGTCCGCTGAAAGGAGAACTCATAGGTTTTCCCTGTCGTCGATTTTTATCAAACAGGAAGGAGATCGAGCGCGAGACCTCGTCGGCTCGCCTGGCTCGCTTTGAATACCAGAAGACTTCGCGTGGAAATCCGATGTGGAGCCAACCCAGGTGGGTGGGGGAGGGTGAGAAAACGTTCGCGGGGGCGAGCCAGGTGACGCGAGAAAGCACTCTTACCGCGGGTGAAGTGAAATTACATAGAAAGTCTATCAGTAGACGGATATTACGGTCCCCCGGGGTAACTTTATCGCCGACTCACGCTCGGATAATCGCGCGTCTCTGTCCGCCGCCTACAAATCAATCTGGCAATTAAGGGACGTTTTGTCGCGGTGCTCGAGCTCGATCGAGCTTTATCGAATTCATCGGGGGCGCAGCGAGGCGTCGCCGCGCAGGAAATCGCAGCTGCATAAAGCGTTCAATCGTAGCGTGGCGTGTGATAGCATTATCGATTGTCAGACGGCGCGCGTCTTTTTGCTGCGTTCGTGCGATAAGCTGCTCGCTGGCGCGACGCGTTTATCGATGATATCGTTGCAAATTTGCGCGGAAGTCGCCTCGATGGCGATGACCAAACGCTATTGCGCTTCTTCTATACGATATTAACATAACCGTTGTTTCGATATTAGGGTCGCTATAATTTTTTTTGGGATGCATCGTAATTTATCGTGCAATGTTTTACACTAGATCTACCGCAACTGGTCAAACGATCGTTTTTAAAATATTATTTTAGCGCTATTTAACTTCACAGCTTAATATACCAAGAATGAATTTTACAATATTCACATCTATTTGTTTGTTTTCTGAGAAAAATATGTAATCTGTCTTGCCTATCACGACTGGTCTGCTCGGTTGCATGATTTATATTTTTTTGTAAAAAACTGGACATGAAATTCTGGTTAGCTTTCGATGTAAATAGGAAATATATGTATAGCATAGACGAAAGGAGTGGATCTTCAGTTTCCACTGTCTTAGAACAGTCTAACAACGCGTATTAAAAATACTGAAACTTTAGACGCGTGTAATTCCGAAACTACTAGTGCTTTATCCAAAATTAAGCGACTGTTAGAAGCGGTGAAGCTTCCCCTTTAAAACGGTTTTTGGTTTTTGTCGATCGGACTTTCCGTTTCGGAGATATCGCGATTTATGTAAAAGCTAATTTTTCTTAATTCGACTATTCCTGTCTTCGTCTGACGCGTCGCGTCGGACCTCTTTCTCGCACGTTGACCCACTGACCGAGTGACCGAGTGACGTCACGTTTACTATTTACTACGGTCACGTGCGGTCAACGGCCTTGACAAGGCCGTAGTAAACAAACGCTTCGGACCCTCATATCTCCGAAACTAGTCACCGCATCGACTTGAAACTAAAATCGCTATATCTCCGGAACTAATAAAGCTATCCACTTGTACAAACGCTCATTTTAAAGGGCATTTCATCCCCTATCCGATGACTGTATCAACTATTCTAATTTATGCTGTTTTCCATGTTTATTTTGAAGTTTACTTTGACTCCATGCACCCAATGAAGTTTCAACAATTCTTATTGATTCTACGACCTGTTTTAATAAAATTTATTTAATTGAAAATTCATTTAAATTTAAATACAGAATGCTTGCATAATCACTAGTCAGTACCTTTTCTTAAATGATTCATTTTTCTATAACTAACTATGGTACCGACTTGGAATAAAAACCAATACTTTTAAATGAAAATAGGATAAAAGATAATTGTCCATCGTGATATATTTCGAGTTGGAACTAACCCAACGAACATTCAATTTCGAGTTTCTTGCGAAACAAAATTAATTTTACATTTTCGATGCGGTTATTACGTGGAGGATCTTTTATTAAATTTTGAAATTTACAACTTTACCTATGGGCGTGCATTACGAGCTGTAGAGAAACGGATCGTCGAGATTGAATTAAATTTTTACTGCAAGTTAAACAATACGTGGTTTATATTCGGATTCGCGTATATCGCGTCGGTCGATTTTGAATAAATTCAATTAGTCGGATAGCGATTCTGCTTGCATCAATGCATAATTTGATAGAGACGAAAGCTTTAGTTTTCTCGGAAATATCCGGCAATTGATTTATGGCGTTTTAATTAATTAAATATAGCGATACCGTTCGCGTATACAATACGATTTGATCGATACCGTTGCAATTAATCAATAAAGCAGTTTGCGAAAGTGAACTTAATACGATTATTTAACGTGTGCCCGGCTAACGGAGTTAATTAAATGTTCTTCGATCAAAATTAACGTTTAACATCGTGCGATTCGTCAAAAACGTACAATACGATTCGCGTTTAATTTGTTTATACGGCGGTGTGTAACGCTGTTAAACGAAAAAATAGACAAATATTTTGATCTACAACACTGACTTTACGCTGCCCACGTTTTACTGGGCATTCTGTTGTTATTCGCCCTATAATTACCCCTTTTATCTTTTAAAATGGTTTT